GTATATTATACTAATCCACATTATTAAAGCTTACCTTTTCACAAGTAACAATAATTAAAATTGATATCAAAACTAAACGAATAGTTTTATAGAAACAATAACTAATTATCCAATGGTAGATATAATAGTAGTAATAATGACACTACAAGCATTTAATACTGTTCACAGTTCACAAAGATAGCTGAAAATGCATATGATATTTGCGTTTGTAGCATCCAGTGTAGAATTGGACAAGCGCACATATGCATCTGACTCATATGCAAGTAAGGAAAGAATCCTTACAGATTCTTTGCTGAAGATTCCCTTCGCGCTTAATGCATAGAAAGCCAACGGCAGTGTCGTCGCTCGCCAAGTCTGCGCCAAAGGCTCCTAATTGGTTGATGGGTTCGCCAGCAAGAGACACAGATAAGCCTCAATCGCTCTTCTGGCTACATACTATGAGTCGTGCAAATTACAGACTGGTCACAAGGTCAAGTTGTGACGTCACGGTATACATACGAAAAACCATAAGGAAAAAAGGGACAGATTGTTTTCTGATTTATTATTTTATTTTCTATAAAGAATATAATATTAAGTCAATTATAAAAATATTTTAAATTTTTACGTACGCAGTTTGATATGTGTGATTTGCGTATTAAGAACTGTTTTTCCTTCGAGTCCCAATAGACCCCCATTCGACCCCTTGGGTCAGATCATGGAGGTAGGAAAGGAAGGAGGGGCCATTCCGCGCTAGAAGTGAAGCACTGCTTTGAAGCTTGGGTCACCAGACGGGGTGTTTTTTGTTTACATTCAGAAGCTCGCTTGACAAAATTCTGATAGTATTTCGACACACGACAGTTCCATAGAAATCGAAAAAGGGACACTTTCGCATGAAAGAAACATTCATAGTGGGATGGATAATAGCAATTTGTATAGTTTACTGACATTTACGCAAAAATCACATCTTGGTTATTTTTCGATAACTAACAACAGCGATTTTGATTATGAATTTGTTTTATAAAATTCTAAGCTGTTGCACTACAAAAATATAGATTTTAAGAAAATTGCTAAAAAGAGATCTGCCAAAATTTATTTTCTAGAAGATTTGAAAAGTTTGAAACTTGATGGCTAAATGTAAATATAAAATTATGTATGTTAAATATTTGTAATTAGGCACATAGGTCAGATTAAGTTTGTTAAATAGAGTAACGCATGCAAGGGCTATCTGCCTAAAGAGAGAGATGCCATCGTGGAGGAATTTTGAAGAAAAACTGACCTTTGAGTGGGTATTAAAAATAATACTTATAATTTTCATTCAAATTATATTCATATATATTTTTTATGTAAAACTTTCGGGTGTATGCTAAATTAGTGTAAATTACTTTACACGAAAAATATAGTGAATGCACAGAAATTAAAGATTTGCACATGCCGGAAATGATAAATAGGAAATATGTATGGGTATTTATGCATGTGCTTGCAAAAAGCATGTATCTGCCTTTGACAAAATACTTAAATATTCATTAAAATTATTTATAAATGTATTTGAAATGAAGAATTTATTCACTTATAAAACAACTGTGAAAGTACTGTGAAGAAATCTAATGATTAAATGTATCTAATTTTAATGAATGATTATAAATGTTATCTAAATATATAATAACCTTAATATTGAATTGTAAACATAAATTGAAATCCTGTTGACAAATACGTTATAAAACTATTTAAGCAAGAATTGTTCGTATTGGAAAGCAATCTGTTAAAAGGTATTGTAAAGCAAATGCTATGAGATGCGCACTTAAGAACGTAATAAAGAGTTTTGGAATATGTATTGTTGAAATGAAGGGTAAAAAAAAAAATCTGATAAGTATAATTAAAAGAATTATTCCTTTACATTTTATAATAACTCAGTTACAAGTTTTAAATAATACTTAAAAAAAAAAAAAAAACTTATTTTATTCCCTTTCAGAAATGTTCAGAGAAAGTCAAATACTATTTTATTTCGCTATAATAATTCTCTAATTTAAAATGAACCGAATAGAGCATTAATTATAAATTGACTTACATTTTTCGATTTAAAAAGAAGCCAAAAAATCATGTCATATTTAAGAAAGTATTTTAGGAAGAAGCTCTATAAATAGAAAAGAAATAATGCATAATTTTAATATTAATAATACAATAAACTTTGATCTTAATTTTTGTACCTTAACCGAATAAAATCGAATTACCTTAATTTTTTTTTTTCTAATGTAATTAACGAAAACTTGTGAAAATATTTCATTCAAATTAAACCATTCTGAGAAAACTGTGAAAAGTATAGCATTTAATTCCGTTCAGAATGAAATGTTGTTTAAAAATATGTTTTTCACATACTTAGGACTCTGAAGTGTTGTAGAAAAAGAAAATATATACATTTATATGTATATTTGCGACGTAATTACAAAATATTTACACCCGAACGCGTCAAATCCCATAGAACTCAATGGTAAATGACCCAATGTTTTGGTCACCACGTAGGGATCGCCGGTGCTTCAGAGCAGGGTACGGAGAAACTTGTTTAGGGCGACTCCTTCTTACTTCCTACCTCCATGGGTCAGATAGACCCCTACTGTTGTTAAATAGACCCCTAGGTGTCTATATAGACCACTTTGGCGACCCCTGTCCTAGACATATGCCAACATAAATTAAATAAACCGTAATTTTGTGTAACATTTCAGCAAGTGAATTATTACTAATATAATGATATCTTTATAAATTGATAATAAAGAAGAAATCATAAAGGTCTGAACAGATGTTGCTTCAATACTTTCAAGATTCTCAGCAAAGTCAATTAATATTTTCTTATCTAAGGCACCCTCTTTTTCCCAGGAACTTCATGAATCAATAAACTCACGAGTTTTTCATATTCCAGTAATTTTACTTTACATTTTACACACTTGGAGTTAGCTTCACTGCTCGTTGATCTATCAAGCTTTAACATACTCAGAAGTTTTTGGAGATGGTTAGTGCATGGAAGGCAGATGAGTTGATTGTCATAGAGTCATCTATGACAAGCAGCGTACTTATTGTATAATGAATAAAGACGAAAATGTCACTGCTATATCTTCCAGTCATTTTGCTTTTATTACACATCTTCATTTGTTCCAAAATAAAATGTTATCTTCCTCAAGTAAGAAGTACCTCAAGTTATTTTTATTCAATGTACGCTTCTTGGTTATATACTGATAAACCACACGTCGATTTTTAATGTATTTAATTGGTATTCTTTTGACATAACTATAAATGTTTTCAAATTCAAACCATATAGTAAGTTTAGCATTTTCATTTAATACTCTATTAAATACTCTCATTTCAACAGCTTCATCTCCGAGAAACACTGCTGTATCCATATGAAGTGATACTTTTAACAATTTTTTGTTGTAGGTTAAAACTGAGCAGTAAAATGTAAATTCCATCAGCAGATTTTATGTAAATTTACATATGAATCATCTGAAATGTTTAGTTTATTCCTTAATGCAGAAGAAGAAAAATCCTCAAATAATGCAATTTTGTCCTTTTTGAAAAATTCATTAAAAATATGCTGATCTAGTACATTGGCTCTTTTTTCCTCTCTGCTCATCTTCGGAGGTGTTGGATTCTCAGATAAGTATTTTGGACAACCAGAAAAATGTATGAATAAGCATTGTTTTACAATTTAGGGTGTCCTTTACAAACTTTAATAACAGTGTCTTCGTTCTTTGGTAAATAATCGTACCGATGATATCATCTTCTCGAGAATGTTTCTCGCACTCAACTCTCGCTTGGAATTTTTGAATCCAGAAATCCCTTTTAATATATCTTTTCGAAACTTGAATATCGGTGTATATTCATTGGCTTCATTGTAGTTCGACTTGAAGGCTGGAACGCAACATCGTGCAAGAATGAATGAAAAACTTAACTTATTTTAGCTCTGCAGAGAAGTCGATCGCTATATTTAATAACAAATACTAAACGAATAAGTAAAACTTAACTATCAGTCTGAACTTTATGAAAACAAATAGCTTAACTACTTTACTTAAATTACTTACCTCAAATTTAGTAATTAAAAACACAGGGCAAGATTAGATAGTCAGTTAATGAACAGCAAGCAACGCAGGAATTTTTCGCTTGTTGTGCCCACAGTGCAGCGCGAAGGATGAAAGTTCCGACGCCTTTTGTGACGTCAAATTACGTGACTTTGAAGCTGACCGGGCCATCTAAATTCGCGAAGGCCACTCTGTGGTCAACAGTACTTCTGCGGAAATCCATCCATGGCATGCGAGCTTCAGGCCTTTTTTTCTGCCAGTCTGCTCCGTTTTGGTGTGCTGTACCACGGCTAACAACTATAATTCTATTCTGGGCCATAAGTACGTTTACGGCCATTATATTGCTAGCCATACTCCGCCCTCTGTATGTTCAGTGACTGTGCATGTTCAGTGAATGAATAGGTTGATTTTGGGTATTTGCGTGCCAAGTATTTCATTGAGCTTTTGTGTTGCGTGCAAATCTTCCGTCCCTATAATGTGTATTTTAATTTCACCGTGTGTAATAAGTATCCACGTGCCATCAGCAGCAATCCTCTTCAGAAACGGACGAGCACAACAGGTATACTACTACGAATCTTGATGTTTTAAGTGTTGCACCATATGTATTTCTTAAGGTAAACTGTTACAAATTAAACAATACCATTCAGGCAGTAGTTAAGGATTTATTGGTTGTAAATAATATATGAATAGTTAAGTACAAAATTTAAGAACATTTTTTACCATCATATATTTTTTTGCTATTTTACTTAGATTTCTTTTACACTAAGTGATAAAGATTTAGTGCAGGAAACGATTGGTATAATTCTTTTTGGAATATTATGAGGTACGAAGCTAGCTATATATCCTTTCTATAAATGACTGAAATGCAGCTAAAAATGAAACTTTTATAGCTATAGGCTTTGATCAAAGACAATAATAACAACTTAATAAGCCGAGAAAATATAAAGGAATACTTACAAGTGCCAGGAGCATCACATAGAAAGGTTCCAGATTCGGGCACTAGGTGACAGAATACTCGCTCCATTGGCAAGAGTTCATCGTAAGTTACAGAACTATCATTTTCTCTCTTACGATAAAATCCAATTGCGATGTCTTTGGTTGGAGTCTCAAAGATCCATTCGACTTTGCAGTTGAAGTCTGGAACATGGATCTCAACAAAACGATATGACTGGCGAGGTACTTTAATGCATGTTACACCTTCTTCTTCTTCAAGGGGTTTAACAGACTGTTGAAGCGCATAACATTCAGGTGGGATCATTCCTCCAAAATTGATCTGGTAAAGAATATTCAACAGTTTTAATACTGCTTATTCAGAAAATATGTTTTAAAAATATGTTGTGATGTGGAAAGATGCATTACGGCATGCATTTCGTAATAATGAATCTCGCGAAAAAGAGAAAATTAAAAATAAATGTTAAATGAAAACAAAATAATAATAACAATAAAAGGCTTATCTGACTCCATTGCCAGAAAGAGTTCTTAAAGAAGGAAAAGCTTGCATGTAATAAATCAGTATCAAAATTAAAATAAAATAGGTGGAAAATCGGCAGTAATAACACATATATATAAAATATGTACGAAAGAAATCATTATCAGGTTTCAAGTTTTTCCGGGGACAGATGTTTGCAATGACAGCAGTTCTTTGAGCTATGATGCGCGTATGGATAGTTCTAAGAAACTAAAATTTCAGGAAAAGGCTATACTGACACATTTAGCGATGCATAGCTAAGCAGAGTGAAAAAAGATCTCAAAAAATAATTCTAATTTCTTTTTTATATATGTAGTCCTATAAGTCAGGTATTTATTCCTCATATTTATTTATGGTTTAGTCGGTATTACGCAACACATTGTTGCAGTTTCGTAATTTTAAACGAGGTTTAGTACGATACGGAAGGGGGAAATAGATACTCTTAGTATAGTGGTTTCCATAAATAATTTTTTAAAAAAAAATTATGATTAAAAAAATATCAAGCTAAACCCCTGAAAAATTCCATAAATTACATTGCTAATGTTAGCTAACTTCACAATCGGCAAAGAGGAGCTCAATTTTCAGTGACAGATGAATTTTAGAATTTTGAATGAAACTGGTAAGTTGGAGTTGATGCTTTCGATGGTATCCAATATCATGAATAATAAACAACAATGAATAACAAAGGTTTAATGAAAATCTAAATACTTCACGTAGTTAAAGAGTTTCTGCAGTAAATTTATCAATATTTTTTTCGAAATTTGAAAGTGTATTATTGTAAAATCGAAAATTGAATAACGGGGAAATCTCAGATAAGAGGCACTTTGCGCAATTTTTTCCGCCATCTTGAATCATGAAAAATCGCCGTATCCTCGGGAAGCATTTTTTGACGCCAAAGAGGCAAATGGCATCAAAATGCGCTTTCCAAAAATTCCTCTTCAGCCCAGTATCGGGGGAAATGCTCCGCTGGCCGAAAATTGCGTAAGGCAAAGTGTAGCGTTTGGGGGTCTACCATACACATGGAACAAATTGTAAGCGATTAGTCATTGTTGTGATTAAGTAAATCTATGCACTTTTTTTCGTCTTAGTAATTTAGGCTATGCTATAGTATCTAACTTCAGCATTATTAACTTTTACACTTCTCTTTTTTAATTCTTACCATTAATTTGAAGAATTATCTGTAATGGTTGTATATGTTTGAAAACATGTTCTTTATATAAATGTAGTAGTGATCACGAAACTACAATATATATCACATAGTTAAAGGTGAAAGCTTTAAAATTAAAATATGCATGTATCTCCACAACAATATTACGTCCTCGAAATGCATTCCTGGCTATTCAATCATCATCCAGTCCTGTTTATATTGGACATTCCGGATTCTTTTAAGCACATAATTTCGCTTAATAATGTTAAGGTGTTATTTTTAATTTTTTGTTTAAGTGCGAAAATAGTTTCATGTAGGTAAGCAAAGAAATGTAATCCTGAATTGCATAACTGCAAGGAAATAAGATTTGTAACAAGCGCTTCTATAGCTTTTCACGACGTTATGCAATTGTTTAAATTTCGGAAAAAGACCAATCAAATCAGTGGCGTAGCTAGGGTGGGGCAAGGGGGGACATCTGTCCCCGGGCGCAGCATCCAGAGGGCGCCAAATTGATGCTACGAAATTTTTTAATGAAATGTTTTCTATTTTTGGCACACAGGAAGGGGCGCAAATTCTTCAGTTGTCCCCAGGCGCTGGAATCCTAGCTACGCCACTGAATCAAATAGAATATGATAAGATTAATTGAATTTGTCTGTATTTATTCTATGAAAGGATAAATCATAAAATATTATTTTTGTGCAATTTTAACGTTGTCTATCACAGTGGTTTCAAAATGGCAGCCTCCGAAGCAATTTTATGCGGTGCGCAAATGTATTTTAATTATGCATTTGTTGCAAATACAGTGATGCAAAGATTTCTATGTTTTACTTATTTGAAGTTTGAGTTTATATTACATTAATTACTATTGAACATGAGTAACACATCAGAAAAATCTATAAATATAAATCTTATTCAAAGATTTGAAGATACAAATTTAATTAACTTTTATTCGTTTTTTGTGAAAAAATTTAAAAAAAAATTGCTCATGTTTAGGCTAGTGGTTTAGATTTTTTACTGATAGACCCAATTCTTTTATCCACAAAATCCTCTATACAAAGAAATCAGTGAAATATGCTTGACGAAGAAAAATAACAGAATAATGTTTGTTTAATATTTTATACTAACTTATCATCATTTCAGCCTTATTAACATTTTATTGGATTTTTAATAATTATATTTGAATATAAACTTGGTTATTAGGGGGTTAAAAAACTACTTTTATGATACAGGGTGTCTTTCAGCCGTCTAAGGGTAAACTGTTGCATACTGGTAGGTCGTCTTGAAGTCAAGCCCCGAATAACGGGCTTCCCTTCCCTTATGCAAATATCCAGGCAGTGCTTTTTATATTCTAAAATAATCCTAATCCTATTTATACATGGACTTAATAAGAAAAAAGGCATTTGGTTAGATTAAACAAATGACTTTCATAAATTAAAAAGTATATATATATATATATATATATATATATATAAAGTATATATATATAATGTTGTAGGATCTTAAATTCATTTAGTGCGAAAACAAGTTACTACTACTTGCGCAATTGCTGCAAAGTAAGTTAATAATAATTTATTTGCTAAATAATATTGATTAATTGATTATATTATCTCCTAAGTTTAATTAAAGTAGAATTATCTTAAAAGAGTGAATCCATACTAGTAAGTTATATTTTGAAAGATGTTTTGAAGTAACTTGAAAGTAAAATATTAATAATGTTTTAACGGGGACTGGAATTAAATCATCATGAAGAACAGAATTTCAATTGTAAAAGGAATAAATGAAAGGCAAGAATTAAATTAAATGCATGTAAACATTGTCATTGATCGGAAATTAGTTGACTTTTCAAGGAGAACAAACCAACTCCCGTTCAATGAACAATAATTAATAATAAATACATACGAAGGTGTTTCGTCTTTACTCGAGCAATAAGGCTAAGCCAAACCGGCAATTCAAGTCAGGCCAAATATTTCCGCGAATAGAAGGGATTATGAACCAATGCTGATATTCAAAGAACTTATTCTTATGAAGCATTTAACCAATTCAATTTTGAGTGAAAAGAAATTTCTGCAGTGAATTTCGGAAAAAGTCGAGTAACCGTCCCCCGACACCCTCGTGTTTATGCATTTGAGTTCAAAATTATTTGTACAAATTAAACATTGGAAATTGTCATTATGAAATAGAATTCAAAGTATAAAGTTGAAATAAACATTAGAAGATTACAAAATATAAGATAAATAATGCAAATTGATGACCTTATTACAATTAATAATTTTACTAAAATTGAACACTCCGAGATTTATCCAAATTGTCTTACACTTAATAAAACTAATAATTCACAAAATAGCATAGACTATCTAGATCTTCAAATCATTAACTACAAAAAAATTTTACTTTTTGACAAAACAAGAAACTTTCAATTTCAATACTAACAAATTAATAAATTGGAATTCCAACATATCCAAAAAAGTAATTAACAATACTATAATAAATCAAATACAACGAATTAAAAATATCTGCACAGATACAATAGATTTACAACGCGAAATTTTGCTCCTTATTAAAATTCTCAAAAATAATCTAATACCCATTCAATTTATTAACCATTGCCTTAAAAGAGCAGGCGTTAAATACTCACTCTAAATCATTTAACTGATAGGGATATGATAATTTGTTCCTAAACCTGAGAAGGCGGTATAAGTTGGATGACTATCAGTTGAAGGATTTGTATATAGTGTAATTACTCAAGTTGTATATATTGTAAAAGCTAATTGTCTACTAGATCTAGACTTATGCTGTTACTAAAAAATGGGCCTATTTCATAATCTTTAGTCTGTCTAATAGCTCTTGGACAGTGAAAAATTCCTTTTTTTTCCTTTCTTAAATTCTTAATCATTGCGACACGACAATTAGCCAGAATTAATTAATTTCCATTCACTAGTATTTTCAAAAAAATCTTAACAGACGGTTTCCTCAAATAAGAACTCCACAAATACATCCCTCAAGAATTCCGAGTCCCACCCACTACCATAAATTACTTCACCAAGTCTTACCGACTGATATAATTCAAAGCCCCGCTGCCGCTAAAGAATTTTCGGACACCCAACCCTTCTGAGTCAGACGCGAAGAGAACACTTTGCCCTCTTCCCACTAGAAAGAACGTAAGTTAATTAATGCTTTTTCTGGCCTTTATATCTTCATGTACATTCACTTTTCTTATTATATATTATTTTAATTTTATTTAATTTTTATTTTTTGATTTGTTTTTACAAAGATTGCAATATTTTCATCATATATTTTTATGCTTGCGATTTTTTGTGCAATTTTTCTAATGTTTATTTCAATACTTTGAATTCTATTTCATAATGACAATTTCCAATGTTTAATTTTTACAAATACTTATGAATTAAAATGCATAAACACGAGGGTGTCGGAGACAATTACTCAAGCAATAACAATTTTACTGCAGAAATTGCTTTTCTCTCAAAATTGAATTAGCCCAAATATATAATAGGAATGAGTTCTTTGTTTCTCTGCATTGCTTCTTAATCCCTTCTATTCAGGGAAATGTTTGGCCTAGCTTGAATTGCCGGTTTGGCATCGCCTTATTACTCGAGTAAAGGACGAAACACCTTCGTATTTATTTCTTAATTATTGTTCA